AACCATAGGGGGAATTATATAAGGAATATATAGGGGTTATAATGGGTCTATATAGGGGATCTAATTTTTAGATCCTCCCAGGGGTCTGGGTAGCTGCATTTCGCATAGGACGATGCGCGCATGATCTTTGAAGCCAAGCCATCACTGGCACCGCACCCTTTCACGGCAAGCCCTAAACCAAACCTTAAACCCTAAACCAAACCCTGCATCTTAAACCCGAAGCCCTCAATCTTAAAGCGTGAATCTTAAATCTTAAGCCTTTCTTGGGGGGTCAGAGGGAACTTAATAACTAGGGCCCTATAACCCATCTTAAAACAATAGTTCTCCCCCTTATTAGCCTGCTTACTAAGTCACTTTACCCTCCAAGCAAACCTTAAACTCTCTAAGCCCCATAAACCCTATAAACCCCATAAACCCCATAAATGCCATAAACACCATAAACCCCATAAACCCTATAAACCCTATAAACCCCTATAAAACCCTATGAGCCCTGTAAACCCTAGAAACCCACTTATAAGCCCTATAACAACCCTAAACCCTGTAAACCCTATAAACCCTCTGCACCCAAAACCCTAACCCCTGTAAACCTTAAGCCCCAAACCCTAAACCCTAAACCCACAACCCTAAACCCTAAACCCCAAACCCTAAACCTTAAACCCACAACCCTAAACCCAAAATCCTAGACCCTAAACCCGAAAAAAAACCCTAACCCGAGGTAACCTCGAGTTGGCGACCTTCACCCGGCTATCATCGCACAGCACCAAGAAGATCCTTGGGCTCGCACGTGCGTCTAGAAGGTTTAGGGTTTCAGGTTTAGGGTTTAGGATTATGGCTTTGGGTTTAGGGTTTAGGGTTATGGTTTAGGGTTTGGGGTTTAGGGTTTAGGGTTTGCCGTTCAGGGTCATGGTTTTGGGTTTGGGGTTTAGGGTTTTGGGGTTCAGGGTTTAGGGTTTAGGGCCAGGGTTTAGGCTCAGGGAGTTTTCCTTGGTAGTCTTAGGGTTTGTCTTGGATCCCTAAACTAAGGAATTCTGAGCTGAATGAGGGTATGTGGGGCCCAGAACTCACGGCTTCAGACCATGAAGGTATAAACTGAAAGCTCTTAAAGGAGGGATTCGGCCACCCTTCCCCAAACCAACTTGGAACACAACAAAGTTCTTCAATTTCTTCAAGAGGGCAGTAATCTACAAGTGCCGCCTTGAGGTTCCATGATAGTTGGGAGGAGAGTAAGGATTTAGGACTTTGGCAAAAGGATCGTGGAGAATCTGTAGCCGCCCCATTATTGAGACTACTCTTCAGGAGAAGCCATAAACCCCAGACCCCCAAAACCCTAAACTTCCATAAACGTATCATGGAGAAAAGGTCCGATAAAAAACTAAACGTTGTAGTGGTCCGCGGCCTTCTGCATCATTTTGCAAAGAAGGGTCTCGAGGGTCTAGAGTTTAGGGCCCTTGTTCATCCCTCCTCAACGAATATCAAGAATATCTTAGGTTGCGCCCCCACCCACTAATAGTGACCACAGAAGGTAATGGTAATTATATTAAGGTCCTTATATATTCCTAGTATACCACTATGAGTGGGTGGGGCCCAAACCCAAAGAATATCCAAGAGTGATAGAGAATCACATGGACCACGAGATGATAAACAGCTTTTATTGGGGTTGCATAGAAACGATTGCCTTTTTAATAGGTCCTCCTCCCCTCTACCAGTATTTGTTTCCAGTATAGCACAGGTGCATCTTAGTGGAGTATTCATTGTTGCGGACGAGGGAAGGTTCATTTTTGCTTGGTTTCAGGGTTTAGGGTTTGGGAGGGGAGTACAGGCAAGCCTCCATGAGGGGACAAAGAATTTGGAGATGACCCCTCCAAACTGTCCTTTGCGCTTGACGGAGTGGCTAACCGCTGGGATAATGTAGACCCATGATTAATAAACCCTCTCCTGTTAAGGGCCTAATCAGGGGTCTGGGTTAGTCAACTTTTTTTGGAAGGTATACTGAATACTGCATCAGCCAGGTATTGTGAGTACTGTGGTGATGACCCGCGAAGACTTACAGATGTCTCCGTGTGTCATGCTTAGCAAACGATATCAGCGTGAATTCCCATTGCTGCACCCGGTTTTCATAAAGTATTGACCCATATACCCAGTTTGAGTTTGACTTGAGGATCAACTTCGTGCCCATGTGGCTTGCGCCCTGGTTGCTGGCGTGCATGTTCACTGACCTGCTAAGTGTGGTGCTGCTGAGAGCCATCTCCAACGTGCTCTCGGAGCTGTTTTCGGGCTTGCCCAATTCATTTCGGGGGGGGTTTCAAGTACGGGTTGGCCAAGTGAGTTTGGTGTTGAATGTGGTGGTTGGCGCTCAGGGAGCATTTGAGGATTGCTTGCGGTTGCAGACGGCTCTGCTTGTGACGTCAGGACCCCCCAGTGTTTTCTTCAATCCTGGCCGCCTGCAATTACATTTCAACAAGCGTTCTGGGAAGCACTTCCAGCGAACTTCAGTTCGTTCTGCTCTACATGGTTCTGTGTGCACTTGGTTGCATGTCCTACTACGTCACAGCTATCCCGAGCGTCTTCGTCGTGCTCAACAAGATGAGGAAGCACAGCCTCATGTTGGAGCAAATGGCTCGCTTTGACATGAGGGCGGCCAAATGTTTCTAGGTAGTAATTCCGTCGAAGCTGTGGAAAGCTTGTTCCCTATAGTCCCTGTGTTAAGCCTGTTAAGCCTGTCATGGATTACGCTAGTCCTTGAATGATATCATATGCCTGCCTAGGTTCCTTGGAGTCAGACCGAGACGTGGTTGAGAAACGCCTCAGTGAGCTTCTTTGTATGCGAACGGGTGCGACCAACTGTTCGACAGTGAGCAATCTTGAGCCTGACGTAGCCTCTATGGATTTGAAGGAACCCTTCCTGATGGCGCAGAACCTGGATCATTGTTCAACACATGTGCTAGTTCGTGCAAGAACATGTGACGACTCAGATAGAGTGTTTTGTCTATGCCTTGGCAAATGACCCAGGAACGCGGAACCGCTGGATTACTTCAATGGATACGTGCGAGGGCCTCTACGTGAGGCCGTGCTTGAGAAGATTGGCGACACCATGCGTGTTCCCTATCACTTGTGCCTGCGCGGTCCAAAGTGCAGGTTCTTTCTGGTCTTAATCATCTCCCTCCAGAAATAAATTTCCCCACTCCCCTTCATAATAACTATTCCCCTAATATATCATGTTACTACATTGGCGAGGGATTTATTGTCAGGGGGGCATTCATTAGGAAGGGAGGGATTGGGAGGGTATTACCAGCCGGACGAAACCAATTGCGTACCAGAGACTGTTCCAATCACATACCTCGATGACGAAACCCTTCTCTGTATCATAACACCGCCACCCAATCAGGAAAAAACATGATGATGTTCAGTTGTAGTGTATTTACTTAACCCTAAACCCGAAACCCGACACTAAGAGGGAGCATTCAATTATAGTGTATTCACCTAACCCGAAACCGTGAGCCCAAAACCAACAGGGGGCATTCAGGTGCTTGGTGACATCGCTGCCCATGGCCTTTTTCGCCTTGGTGGATGTGCTCAGCTGCAGCGGCGTGGACTGCCAGGTGACGGGTTTCCTAAAACAGGCTGTAAGGCTTAAGACATCTTAGGAGTGCTATGATCCATTTGGGGTCCCACTCTTTCGTGGAAGCCCTCATATAATCCCAGTTGCCGTTACAATTTCAATGCTTTCCGTTTGGTTCTCCATTCTTGGGGTAACATCCGTCAACCCTATGCACTCATTACATAACCCTACTCTATCCCTCCCTAACCCCCCCTAAACCCTAAATCCCTATCTATTTATGGCAATCACCAGGTGAATGCAGATGAGTTGGATCTGCCAGTTTGGGTCTATATGGGAACTCTGGCATGCTTCTGGCTTCTCAACTTCTTCATAGTCTACCCCATTGCGCAGCCAAACTTGTTTCGGATGTTGCGATGCATATGCTCCATTGTTCGCTGCTTTTCCACCAGGGTACTGCTTGGATTGATCAGTGCAGCGTTCCTCTACACGTACATCTTTCTTTGCAGCGGCCTTCTTCTCGGCCTGACGCCCTCCCAGCAAACAGAAAGATTTCGTAGCTTCAACAAAAAAAGGGGACCTGAATATAGGCCCCCAAAAGCTCTAGTCCTTATTATAGGGACCCCCAACAAGGTACCCCTAATTTGAGAAACCCCCGCTTGAGATTCTTAGAAATTGGGGCTTATGCCTTGTCAGTATAACGTGCCGCCCTGGGTTTGAGAAAGCCCGGCCTACGCCAGATTCTGCGTCCTAATATTCTGTTCAAAGAGGTTGTTGTTTGAAGCTCCGTCCCTCCGCAAGGTGGGGGAAACCCAAGTTATAAAAAGCTAATATCTTGGGTTTAGGGTTTAGGGTTCTACAGTCCCTTACAGTCTTTCTAGATGACAATAATGTTGGGCTTACTTAGCACTGCCTCCTCTGGCTTTCAAACTGTTGAGGCATGCCCCCAATCTAGTAAGGCCCTTTGTTTTACCAAGGGTAGAGTAAGACATGGTAGTATTAGGTAGCTTCTCGTAGCAACTAGTAGTAGTAGTAGTAGTAGTAGGAGGCTCCGGGTAAGCTCGTGCCGATACATTTTTGTGGCATTGGAAGGGCCGAAATGCTGT